GACAAAGATACAAACATGTATCAAATAAATCTGCTCACCTGCAATTTATAATGGCGCATTGTAGTCACCTTCGTGCACGAAAGTTCGTTCAATCTCAGCTGTTAGTTATTAGTTAGTCAGTTATGTCAGTTATTGATGGTTTTATATGCTCCTGAAATTAAGTGCTGCTTGACGAGCCTATACAGTATTGTGTTCATAATTTGTGACGTCACTGAAGGCCTAAGGTTGAAATGCACGGCCCGCCACTGTATTGGGAACATGCACATAAGGAAACTGTGGCCTAAAGGTGTGGATGTGACCTCGTAGGAGGTCACGCAGACCAGGTACAACCTTGAGATATGCAGGGATTTAAACCTAGCAGAACTTGGATTTCATCGAATTGATGTCATTCATCGCATACAAGCTAAGGCTGGGATTCTAACTGTTAAGGAAAACTTTTTCAAAGTAGATATCCAAACATATTTTGCATTTTATGACCAGACAGGGAAGCATAAACTGTGGACTGGTCACGAAAGCTGTCAATTTGTCGCACAAAAATGTTATATATAGGGAAGGATTTACAGCTCTATTCCGTAGAGACAAACGGCATTTAGCAAGTTGGGATGCGATCTCACATCCCTTATGATAATAACAATCCTGATATTAGGTTTCCGGAATAATCTGGATAGGGGTGGATCTCACAAACGTAGAAAACGATAAGATCTTTTGCACAAAAAAGGTCATTGACAAGACAAAAACGGAAGTACAGCAAACTACACTGGTGACAAAGAAACAGGACAAAACGAGACAAACCAAAAACGCTTGCAAAAGGCAAGGAGCGAGAAAAACGTAAATTTATATATATATATATATATATATAAAAAGTCAGGCTCCATTTTTAGTGAGGACACCTGAACTCGAAGCTGGAATCAGCTCGTTCAAGTGAACGAGGGGGGAAATGGAGTTGATATTTTTGCATGCAACTGCCTTACATTTCATTTTTTTTTTTTTAAGTTGCCTCTCTTCCATGCCTTTGTATTTGATATTAAGCAATTTGCAATGGGTGCCAGAACACCTTCCAAAGTTTTCCATGCATTTCTTTTTGTTTACATAATATAAATATCTATATACAGTATACACATCTCAGTTGCCTAAGCCTGTAAGTTTGGAGTCTCTCTCTACTTTGTTCACTGCTACCGTAAAGTAATTTTTTTTTTCCCTTAACACTTCATCCTGAAAACCAGGGTGATGCTCGTTCAGAATTGGTTTGACCATAATGAGATATTGTATTTAAGTTTATGAAATAGCAGTTGGCAACAGCTTTGTGAAGTTTGGCACAAGCTATGTGAGCACTTGGAACTTTTAAGTGCCAGATGAAATTAGTCGGGAACGAAATCAGTTTTATTCCAAACAAATTGCCAAACATTTTCAACAACTTTTAGTTTTTGTCCAAATCCAACAGTATTGAGATTGGCAATTTGTTCTACATTTTAGCCTCGACTCCTGTTACTTGATATTTATTGCTAATTGGAAAACTCACATCTTGAAAACTCAAAAGATGTGAACATCAAAATGTTCACATTTTTGTAGGGATTTGTCAACCCATGGCTACTTTATGAGATTAAGTTATTTGCTGGGTGTATAGTTGGCAAATGATAGTTTTATCGTATGGCACGTTGATCAATATGCTATCTTTGATATCTTCTGATATGATGATATCATCTGATATGATGGGTGTGGCATGGCTAACACATCATCCTTCCCCAACTGCATCTCGTCATGAATATGTTGTCTTTACAGTGTGGAAGCTTTAAGTATGCCATGACACATGTGCTATTTGTTTGATAAGATTTGTAAAGTGAATGCATTAAAAATTAATAATTAAAAAAGGAGGCCATTTTTACTTACACGTTGGAGTTTATTGGCGCTGAGTACTGAGGGTTTTATAACTAATTGTGATGTGTGCATGCAAAATCAGCCAGCAGGTGGCAGAATAATACTGTCTTCCTGATTGCGACAATTTTAAGTACATTTTAACGACATAGTGACAATCCGTGTACCACTCGTTTTTCAAAACAAAACTGAAAGAAAAAAAATGTTTCCTCAAACCCCCCCCCCCAAAAAAAGAAAATGTCGGTAAAAGGATACCTCAGCATTTTTCAATTTTCAGCAGTAAAATTTCATATTTAGTTTGAAGTTTCTAATGAATTTGATGACTATGAACACATTCTGCCACTTGCCGTCGACTGAAAATGACATCCTAAATCGGTGTAATTCACGTAACGACCAATCACGGCTCGCTTTGTGAGCTTGACCGAACAATTCCGTCGCTACACAAATTGTAGACAATGCTCATTTATGGCAGGCACTAGTTTGCAGTGCGGGCAGCACGGCGGAAGACGGGTTAGCGTGCCGGCCTCGCAGTGCAGAGGTCATTGGTTCGGTTCCGGTCTCCGGCCTTCCTGTGTGGAGTTTGCATGTTCTCCCTGTGCCTGTGTGGGTTTTCCCCGTGTACTCCAATTTCCTTCCACATTCCAAAAACATGCATGGTAGGATAAGTGATCACTCGAAATTATCCCTAGGTGTGAGTGTGAGAGTGGATGGTTGTTCGTCAATGAGTGTGCCCTACAATTGGCTGGCAACCAGTTCAGAGTGTACCCAACCTATTGCCCAAAGACAGCTGGGATAGGCTCCAGCACATCCGCAACCCTCGTGAGGATAAGTGGATCAGATAACGGATGGATGGATGGCTGGATGGATAGTTTACAGTGTAGTCGAAATTCCACACATTGAGAGGTGTTTCTATGTTTACCAATTGGAGCACTCAAATCAAACACTTAAGTATTTTTCAGAATTAATTTTTTGTGCCTTTTTCATGTCCCCTGGACTGAAGAACATTGATGCACGTTTGTCTCTTTCTGAAGTGTTGGCAGGGGAAGTGTGAGAAGATGCGTAGTGTGGTATCCTCTCGTGTGTCGGCATCCTAATGTGTGCCTCCCACTACTGCCACTGGCGCTTCATGCATTCCGTGCTCACAACTGTGAGTATAAAAACACACACGCAGACCCAGATACCCATTCGGAACACTGACCTACTTTGAAAGACCTGTTTCAATGGAGGCAGATTTACCCCAAATAGCCAAGTTGCAGGGTGATTTATTTCCACCATAGTATTTATTTTACACATTCATGCTAAAATTTAACAGCTTTGTAGTTACTTGGAAATATTTTCTATCAGCGGTGCACATTTCAGACAGAGTGAACTTGCAACCTGAGAAACACCCCTCTCTTCCACAAAAGCAAACAAACGATGATTCACTTCCTGGAGGTGCCCTGGATACCTTGTGTCCCATTACTTGAGTCCAATATATTCACTGCACAACGCAGTGCCCGAGGCTCATCTTATCTGGATAATCAACTCTCAATATTCTCACTTGGTCCTTTCATTTGTATTTGCAAACTCAAAGTGATGAAAATGTCGTAAATTGAACAGTTCATGGTTTGCACAATCATCCAGCATCCGAATGCAGACTCAGCAACTTCTCATCAGGGGCTTCCTCTTTCGACAAAAAGTAATTTTGAATGCGATAAATACATGTGGGTTGCATTTCTGGTACTGCTGAGAAATCAGAACAGTTATTCCAAGTTTGGTGAAATCTCTCAAAATGTATTTATTTGCGTGAAAATCTCTTGTCAACCATGTCAAAATGACCACCAGATAAATTCGTTAGGGAGTAACCACGAGGACAAACTCATCAATGATGTAACCGACTGCTCATAGTTATCTATTATTTAGTTGAGTTCTTCATTTTGCATGCCATTTACTTGCTGGAATGTTGCGAACCACGAAAAAAAAAAAAGATTTAGTTCTGCAAGGGTTCTCTCTCGTTTCTATTTATACGTCTTCAACCGCCATGACCTTGAGCATCACCACAGCGGTATTTTGGTTACCTTCTGGTTAGGCCTCATGCAATCTGCCACAAATGCAGATGTTATCGACCTTCCCGTTTCTCAGTGACTCCACTCATTAAGAATTCACACGCACGTACGGAACGTCTTTTGTGCTTTTTGAATTTGTTGACGGTTGGTTTCTGCACACCGCCGCGGTATACGAGTGAGCTCACAAGGATCGGCTTCCAAAAGTAGCGACGCTTTGACATAAGGTGTCCATGTTGTATTTGCCCTTCATCCAAACGGAAGGAAACCCTGCTCCTTGAGATAACGGAACTGGGCAGTTGCTGCACATTTGAGCAAAACAGGAAATTTCTTGTTTCCTCCACTGCTTATAGCGGCAGCTTGCACCACACCACTTCTGCATCTGTTCACGCATGAAGCACACCACCAAGCACACGTTCACACACAAAGCGAGGCACAGCCGCAGTTTTACATTGAGGTACCAAGGAGGCCGCGGCTTCGAACCGCCCTCTCGGCTGTGCCTGCGGTGGGAAACGAGATCTTCTGTGCCATAGCTGAGTTGCTGGTCAGTGTATCGCAGGATTTCGTAGCAATCATCAGTAACATAAACATCATTGATCAGATGCTTCAAAAGTGCTCATGCCAGTGTCTCGACGCAATGCTTATTTTTGTGTCAATGATCTCCCCTTTAATCTTCCTTAAGTGGAAAAACTCCCAACATGTTCAAATATCAACCATCCAAAATAAACTGTCTTGGAATTATGTGACATAACGATATCTAGAGAGACACAGTATACAGGTCCTACAAATGCTTTGAATATCCAAGACAGGTTGACAAAAGGTTAACTTTATTTGTGAAATTGGCACACATTTCCAGCCTATTCTTCTCATGGCTGAATTTGCTGAGACCTTATAAAGCATCAATAGGACGTCGGTTTGAAATACTTCTTTTTGATTGATTTGTGTATCACTTTGGGCTTCACAGTGAGGAATACAATCATTAAAATGCCCACTAAAGAAATGCAAACGGGCACAAAAAGGAGAATGTACCAAAAAATGGACTCTCCGGTTTCTTCATGACAGAAAAATGACGGATAATCCCGGATGCTGCGTGTTTGGTAGAGATCTGTACATTCGATGTCCGACTGGCCGACCATATGCACGGTCTTTGTTGTTGTAAATGTCCGAAACCACTCCGTTTGGCAGCAGTTGAATGGATTTCCTGTGAGGAAAACGGTGTGAAGTTTCGAGGCTAATTTGTCGGCCTGAGCCGAGGGAATAGAAGACAGCTTGTTGTCCCTTAAATCGAGCTGTTTCAAGTCAAGACTAGCGACGGACGCCGGAAGACGTGCGATGGAGTTGCGTGAAATATTCAGAGATTTCAGATTCGGAAAAGCTGCAAAGTCCAAGTCCCCGACGTGCGTGTTTCCCAAACCCAAGTGGTGTAACGTTGCGCTCAGGCTCTTTATCGATTGTTGGCCTCTTAGTCCAGGGTTGTCAGATAGTTCTAAATGTGTGAGAGAAAGGCCAGAGAATGCGGAACGCGGAAGTCTTTCAAGGTGGCACCCCTTTAGGAAAAGCCGCCTTAGGGACGCAGTGGCGTTCCAGGCTACACCTGCACCGGCCTCAACTTCCTCAGGAAGGCAGATGCCGATGTTGTTGTAACTGAAGTCCGCTGACCGAAGGCTTGGCAAGTTGAACAAGAGTCCCGAGGACAAGCAGTCCAGATCATTCAGGCTCACGTTCAGGTCTGTCAAATTGCCAAGAGCTCTCAGCGTGACGTCGTCCGCCGCAATCTCTTTCAGTCTGTTGTTGCTGACGTCCAACTCGCACAAGCTGCCAGAGAACTGCTCCGAAGTTAGATTCAAGCGCTCGAGACAGTTGCTGCACATTCGGAGTCGAGACAGGGACGGCATTTGACGGATGAATCCCCGCGGGAAGTACTGCAACTGATTTCCCCGCAGGTCTAAAATCTCCAGCGAGGAGACGTCGCCGTGGAGGCTGTCGTCCCACAACGTAGCCGTGAGGATGGTGTTGTTCCTCCTCAGGTTGTAGAACGTGATGGTGGCGGTCAAGTTAGGGAAGGCGGCGTCGTCCGCCAGGTGCTCGTAAAAACTCACGGTGTTGTGAGACAGGTACAGATTCCGTAAGCGGCTCGCGTTGGGTAAGAACGGAAAGAAGAGCAGTTTGTTATCGGATAGATCGAGTGTCTCGATTTGGAAAGTGACGTTGACGTCCTGCCTGGAGATGAACCACTCGATGAAGTTGTGGCTGGCGTTTAGGACCACCAGCTGCGTCATGTGGAAGTCCGTCAGGCAAGGAAGATAATTGAAGGCCAAATTGAGCCGCTGCAATCCGGGCGTGGCGTCAAAGGCGTTGTCGATCTCAAACAGGAGGTTCCTCTGCAGGTCCAGCTCTTTGACCCGGCGGAGATCCCGGAATGAGGTCTCGTCCAGGCGCCGTAAGAGATTCCCCGAAAGATTTAGGTACTCCAAGGATGTTAGATTTTCAAGCAGGACGGCGGCCATTTCTTCATCCAGCGTATTCTCGGATAGATCTAAAATTTTGATCCTGGGCAGTGTCTTTAAAGCATTGCTGGTTTCTGGGTAGCTCATATACAGATGATTATTTGCTAAATTCAGACTTGTTAAGAATTTGCAGTACTGAAAAGCGTTGGCGTGTAATAGCTCCACGTGGTTGCAGGCTAAACTGAGGGTAGTGAGTGACGGATACCGAAGAGAGTTGTCGTGTAGTGTCCTGATAAGATTGTGATGGAGTTGAAGCTCCTCGGTGGTGCGCGGCAGTCCCTCGGGTACTGACGTGAGGTTGCTATTGTTGCAGAGAGCTGCTCTTTGTGTCTGTAGACAAGGAAAGAGGACACACGCTGCTTGGATCTCTGTTGACAACAATGTCCTCAGAAACTTTTTCTGGCAAATACCACGAGGGATTTGCTGTGAAGAGAATGGATGGATGGGCTTTCGTTTTGTGAAGAGAGAAATTGTTTTATGATCTATATCTTTTTTCCCGACACCAAGCAGGATATTACGTCACTAGCAGGATAATGCTGTTACGACGACTGCTAATACGACAAAGCAACAGTTCATGGATTATCTTAAAAAAATGATTGCCCCTTAATTAACGTTTCGTATCAACTTGAGAGGCTCAAGCGAGTGTCCTACGCACAAGAATAAAAATGACAACAACCAAACCAGAATACCGTATTTTTAAGAACAATTTTTTCCATCAAGCCACCCATGGCCATGTGCGGGTAATACGGAACTCAGTTCACAGTATGAAAAGAGAGCACTTACCAGCTTGCACTGACTGTGTTGCGGATGACTTGAGGCTGGTACGAGGACGGTCCACATGGATAGCATTAAACAAATGATGATGGATGAAGGGCCTGACATTTTAACATCTTCACTGTTCAAAAAAAATCATGGAAAAGAAAGACATTTTACAGAAAGGCAGAATCCACTTTTTGTTTTTTTGTTGTATTCAAAATTTATCATTTATTCATCATGGGTTTGGTTCCAGCTCTCGTGTGTGGAATTTGCATGTTCCAAAAACATGCGTGGCGGGTTGATTGGACACTCCAAATTGTCCCTCTGTGTGATTGTGAGTGTGAATGTTTGTTTGTCTATGGGTGGGCCCTTCAATTGGCTGGCAACCAGTACAGGGTGTACCCCGCCTGCTGCCCGAAGACGGCTGGGAAAGGCTCCAGCACGCCCAGGACCTTCATGAGGATAAGAGGATTAGAAAATGAATGGATGAATGGATTTAATCTTCATTTTTTCCCCTTTATTTTATACATCCAAGATATGAAAGAAGTGTACATTGTGCTTAATAGTCATGAGATTAAAAACCATTTTTTATTTCACTTTGTGGGTCTCTAGGCAATGTGGAAAACTTTTTTTTTTTCAGAAAAATCAACTCCGGATAATCGAATAATCGAAGGTAAGAGCAACAATATGCATTGCACCGATAGATAAACATTTCAAATCATCATTCCGATTGCTCTTTAGACAGTCGGTGTTCGTTTTCCAAACTGAAAAGTGCATCATGCTTTCACTTACAGTGGTGGTTAGATGCGGATCCCCCAAGCCACTGATGCCTGCTCGCCTGACCATATCGCTGCCTCGCTCTCCGCCGTAGTGTGCCTTCTCATGCGTGATCTTCATGTGCCGCCCTCTGACAGAAGCAATGACACCTCTGTTTTACTATTCGCGGAAGCATGCAACGGAAACCGAGTCACATGGACAAGCTGCAATCAGAGAGAGGTTCTCAAGCTCAAGGGGGCCACAGGAAGGCAGGCAAGTGCTGCTCAACTTCTCTTCTTCCTCTTCGCCGGAGCCCAGGCGTTATATCTCGCATATTAGAATTGTGGTTGCGAGCGCAGCTGCCACCACCCCAACCCTGGCAAAACACGCCCTTGACACTCTTTTGACACACTCTTGGCCTCTTCTGATCAGCCATCATGCTGGAGAGGAAACCAGTCAACGTACACACCCTTCCTGCTCGGTTTGAGGCCTGCTGCTGCAATACCTACTTCAGTTAGAATGATATTATTGGATCTTAACGATTGAATAGTTTCAACGCTCTTAGGCTCGATGTAAGACACACCAGGGAAATTGGAAAAAATTGTGTTCATCGCAAATCAGCAAGATAGTTTGGGGGTTTTTTTTTTTTTGGTTTTTTTATGTTTGGCATTTTTTTCTCCATTGATCAAATTGTCCCTGGAGGCATATTTTGACCCAAGTTGTTTATCCTTGGTATCCACCCCTCAGGCAAAAATAGGGAACAAGGAATAAGGAAGTGAAGTGGCTGGCTGGAGCATAGGTCGAAAGTGGGGCAAAAAAAAAAAAAATTAATCTGTGGCACGTGATACCTTGTGGCAAAATCGATGTTTGACTGACAGGTTTCTAAGCACTCATAGTGCTCCTGTCCTGGTTGTATAGGAATTATCAATTGGCTTTGTAAGCATGCATTTGGACCTGTGGGAGGCATTATTGTCTTTTGAAACGACTTTTTTAGTACAGCTTTTGTTTTGATGCAGGTGTACCTCAAGGGTTTTATCTGTTTACTACAGTCAATTGGTTCATGTTTTGCCATGCTTTTGCCTATGTTGGTTTTCCAGTGTCACGCTTCTCTATTTGTTTATGTGAATTATGAGCTACAGTTCTATCATTTCCTTTATTTGTTTATATTCAGAGCAATTTGAGAGGCATAGGTGCATCGCCACGAAGGCACGTGGTGACATGTACGTCATAAACTGAAATCGGAGCATGTCTAATGCTGTGTTGACTGAAGATGATTTTTCGGCCTTATTGTTTGCCTTCCGCTTCGGGGATTAAGGCTGCGATGAGGAACAGCACAACATGTGAATCTGAGTTCTATTTCTGTGAACTGAGGAGGAGGAATAGTCGCTATTGTCGTAGGGGGATGTGGGATATTTTCTCTCAGGAAAAAAAAAACAATTTTTCAGTTTCATGCTGTTGAAATTCTTCAGAACCCGTTTATTGTTGTGGCCGTAGCGTGCAATGAATAATAAGCAAAATGTCAGGAGCTCCTCGATGCAGCGTTACTTCAGTGTTAAAATAGGGAGCATGAATGACAACGATGGCGCAACAGATGCAGAGAAGCAAGATATTCCCCATCCAGGAGAATCATTTGTTGTTGGCTATCAGAAATATTTCTTGCACAAGTTTGTTATGTCTTGTGCCAGCCTAAAGGTTTTCAAAACGGATATTGTATTTTAAGTGACAGTAAAAAATATATATAATAATAATAAATTTACTTGATACTAAGTAGTACATTTCAGAGTTTATACTTTTAATCAGGCAAAGGAGTTGAGTTGTTTCATTACATTGATTGTGTCCGCGTGTACTTTTGCCACCTCTTTGAATGCTCAGAAAATGCATTGGAAGAGCTTGCATCGAAAAATAACATTCACAAGACAATCGCTGCACTGACCTCTTGTGGAAACAGCCTCAAACGAGAAGTCATAAGCAATCATTCATTTCAGCCCTTTAGATTGAGCAGACACCATGAAGAGATCTTGAACGCAAACAAAGCCTCTGGGGAATATGTCGAGATGATATGAAGAATGGAGACGTTGATTGAGGAATACAGCGAAAGTACCGGAGAATGACGGAATAGAGACATCGACTCGACAAATGAGATCATCCCACAAGCAAAATGCATCGACAAGCCATTTCGAGTGGCCCCATGTAATGACTTTATTCTCCAACTTTTAAGCTGTACAGAAGCTAATAGTACCATAGATAAAAGAGGGAAATAAATAGTAGAGCGTAATACAACAGTAGCACATTAAAAACGACATGCTGATGTGACATAAAGGTTCTGCCCATACTGGATGCGTGGACTTAAAAATAACGGATTGTAACGGTACGTACGGCACTTCTCATGCATGGCAACTACTAAGTCAGGTCACGCTGATGTGGCATAAATACAAATCCGAATTAACACGGGACGTAATAGATTATTCCACATGTTTTCCCAAAGTCATAGAGCTTCAGTATTTTTAAATTGAGTCATATAGTGTTTGCCACAGCCTAGAATAGTTCATCTGGACCTTCAAATACAAGTCAAACCTGTGGTACGTGTTCAGCACCGAATCGGGGGATGATGTTCAATATTTTGATGTTCTGCGTGTAAAAAGCAGTCTGGAATCGAAACTGTAAAGGTGTTGGCTTCCACGCTGACACATGAATAAACACAGAGTCCTTTTCACAGTCAAAATTCTGACGCAGGAGTCATGAGCTGTTCAAATCTTGTCAAAATGTCCGCAGTCCCCGGTATGAATGTGAAGAGCTGCTTCGGTGGAACAGAACGGTTTGGCCATCACAACCTTCAGTGACAGTCCCCTCCAAAAGTATTGGAACAGCCGTGTCAATTCCTTTGTGTTTGTCGTTCCAACACTTTTGGAGAGGACCGTCCATACAGCTCCTAGCCATCCAGCGGCTTCCCCAAGTACACCATTGTGACCTCCGTGTTGCCGTACACTGCGGAGACAGCAGGGAACAGGCAGGCTTTGGGCAGTCCTCGAAACGCAACTCCCAGAAACTCAAACCCCCTCTCGAAAGCTAATGTCTTGTCATCCATGTCGAGAATCACTCGTATTCTCTCGCCAATCTGCAGAAAAGAACACAATGGGTGATGGTGTTCGTCAACATCTAGATTTTATTCATGACTGTGAGGTTAGCCGTTTTATAGAGAGGGGACTGCTCAGTTATGGGTCATACCTGATATTTGGGTGCATTGTTACACTGTGGAAAGTTACCGTTCACCTCCCCGTTGTGGAGCAAGTTGTTGTCGACCAGGTTCCAGCCCCAGCTCTGGTCATCACTGCCCAGAAGAGCCACGTAGCCTTGGCACTGCATCGATGCCCGCTTGGTCGCAATGCCGATCACCGCCACCGTCCCCAGAGGGCCTTCCCACCAGATTTCCCAGGCGTGACGCCCTTCCGAAAAGCCAATCTTGCCTCGTGCTCCATCTGTGCTCTGGGCGATGGGGTTACGGTGAAGGGTGAATCCGTTCTTCTTCACGTACACGTTGCGGGAGCAGTCATGGGAGCTCAGAGCGTGTTGCAATGATTTGAGCTGGAAACAGATTCGATGTTGTATCATTTATAATATTTTACACAAAGATAAGGCTCGAGCCTAGTTTGGAACCCTGAACCGCAGAAGTGCAAGACACACAATGCGAACAACCATCAGGCAAAAGTGTTTTTTTTTTCCCTGTATGGCCTATTCTCTGTGATCTTTAATAATTGTCTGCTTCACCAATACAGCAATAAGCAGGCACGTTGTTTTGGTAATTATGCTTCCGCCTAATGCACCAGGCACATTTACGTGCGGTGATGGTACAGATCAAACATCTTGGTGATGATCCACGAGTCTCCCAATGGTAACCAAACAGTCAACCCACCTTGCCTTTGTAGGAAGGGAGGTTGCACAGGATGTCAGACCGCAGGGCTTCTTCACTTAGTGTTCGAGCAGCCAGGCTGCGCCACACCTCGCTGTTTTCATCCGCCAAAATGGTGTTCCAGTGCCAGCACACCAACGCGCATCGAGTCAAATCAGCGAGCTCCAAATAGGAGAAAATAAGCTCCAGGACCCGAGCAGGTAGTCTACCGGCCACCCCTGCTCCACCCCCGGATGCCGCAGTGTAGGGAGGGCCGGCGGAGCTGCAACTAGCTCCAGCTGCTGCGCCCAGACTAGAGGAGCCTCCACCGGCCGCACCCGACATAATAGTCCCACCGTTTGCAAACGAGCGAAAACTATCACCTAACACCACAGAATGACGCCCAAGTATTAATTTAATTTCAACATTTCAGCTCTTGACACATACATAAACGCTATTGAAACCACAACAGTATGGAGCCCATTCCAGTTCGACCGCTGACGGGAAATGATGCGTAAGGTCCCTGAAGAAACAAAGTAATAAAATGAATAAATGTCTTGGCAAGAAATATAGTCTACTGAAACCCTTATATTTCTCTTTAAAGTTTTTAATATGCTTAGTTTGTTATGTGCAACTGCAGAAACAATGCTAAATCACCGCCACACACAATACGTTTTTATCACACGCTAGGACCTTAGCCTGACGTCATAACGGACCCGGTGTCATTCGTTGCAGACGGTTGTAGTCAAAACACGAATAAAATTGATTAGAATGCGATATTGTGTCACAAACATATGTATGTACAATAATTTAGAAAAAATGTTTTCAGAAAAAAAAGGATACACAAATTGCATAAGCAGTGAATAAAAGATAAGATCAGAAAACCTTTATTTGTCTCACAATGGAGGAATTACCAATTTACAGGAGCAAAATTATGAAAGGGAGAAAGTAGAAGACAAAAATGACATAAATAAAGCATAACATAACATCACATAAATCCTGAATGAATTTGCAAAGCGTCCTACACGTAATTTGAAGTAGAATTGCAGTTTTATTTCTTTAATTTCTTGTCAAAATATTTTAACAACAAATGCGTTGTTGTTTTATGGGATTTTTACGACCATAATACAACAAATAAATAAGTAATTCATCAATGCATTATCGGCCTGAATCACGTGACACTATACGGAAGTGACGCAAGCACTCAAAAGAGTTCAGCATCTGGGAGCAAAACACCAGCCAGCTTCAATTTATTTGCCATCGGGGATCCAAAGAAGCGTATTTGCAGACGGCAATAACATCTACCGGTAAGTTATTGTAGTTGATTAGAGCATTTTGGTTAGCGTTGTGTTGTGTGCCATGTTGGGACAAGCAGTGGTGCAGAACACAGCTGTCCGGCTGGCTGCCTCCTGAGTTGCGGCCTGGCGGTAAATCGCCTCCCTCTGGCTGCTGTGCACTCACGCCAGAGGTTGGTGGGGATTTGCGTGGACAGACAGGTGATTGGCTTGCCGATCACCTACAAAACAACAGAGTATGAACATTTAATGTTCTCAGTGCAAAGTACATGTGGGGAACTGAGATTGAATCGCTAGTTCGGCTCACGCGTTTAAGCTAGCTCATGATAAAGCGTCGATGGGTTCACCTTCGCACACCTTGCCAAAATTCCTTCACAGCATCTTCACTACGACAGGGAGCACAGCGGCAGCGCTTGTTACAACGCCAATGACGTACATCAAACTTAATTCGTCATCGTCTTTGAAGTCAAATTTGTTCGCAGCTCGCCTGCAATCAACTTCTTATCATTTTAATCGCATTCACTCTCCTCCGTTTTGATTTTTGCTTCAAACTGCGATGTAAAATGCTTGTTGTGTTTTTGTAAGAAAGTGGGATTTGATATTTGACACATAACGTCTTATTTTGCTGCTGGGTGTCCTCAAGACACGCAGAGTGTACAGTTTGATTTCCACAACTGCGTAACGAGAGTGTAGTCATTTTGAGCCCCGGACGCCCGTCATCGCCTCAGCCTTTCTGCAGTGCGCCATGGCCACCGCTAGAGGGCACATCTTACGTGACTTTCACGAGACGTGAGCTCATCCATTTCATGCGACAACAACAGTTGAACATTATCAGATTACTCTGATCACCCATATTAATTAGAGTAAAATATATATATTTTTAGAAGTATACAATCATCTGGTTGCATGTTGTACTTCCTGAAACTGTCGGTCACTGTTCTGCCATTTTTTTAAATCACAATAATTGACATTTTAACAAGGGCATGTAAACATTTCATGTGCACTGTAGGTGTAAGAAGGTAACATGTAAAAAAATAGACTATTTTTTAAATCTATTTTTTAATTGCAGGACTTGGTGGCCATAATGAATCCAGTGTACAGCCCTGCACCAACAGGGGTCCCCTTCACCAACTCCAAGGGTTTAGGCTATCCAGGTAGGTTCTTGCATAAAATGCAGAAAATACTGACATTATACAATTATTTTATGTTGTTGTATTTGTTGTTCGTCATGATAGCTGGCTTCCCTGTTGGTTACGCAGCAGCTGCCCCAGCATACACTCCAAATGTCTACCAAGGAGCAAATCCAGCCTTCTCAAGTGGTAAAAGTTTGTTTGTCGAGTGTATTTACAGTATTTTATTTATTAATCTACATTATTAATAACTACATTCACACGTCAATGTTTTAGTAATCTTGAATTTTTTTCCTGATTTGACTGTGGACAGTCACTCACGGATACTCACATGGTGCAGTTACCCACCACTGCAAAGTACAAAATGACGATTGATTATGTATTTCTTGTATACCTTTTTGAGCAAAGTGGCACATTATAAGGTGTGGGATGGCGAAATATTTGATACACTTCTTTTGTGATCAACTTAGATTGCAGTTGTACCAAATGATGTTACGATTGAGTGGTGTTGACATTTTCTGTTCTGTGATCCAGGTTACGCCCCTGGAGCTCCATTTAAAATGTCCTGTTCCCCCAACACCGGGACTGTCCCACCATACTCATCCTCCCCTAACCCATACCCAGCTGCTGTATACCCAGTCAGGAGCACTTACCCCCAACATAACCCTTATGCACAGGTATGTCGTACTTGGTTGCATTGCCTAGTTTATGAAGCGCAAAACTCGTCAAATGTTCTGCTTGGTGTGATGCAGGCGCTGATCCCTTCACAACAGCAAGGGACTTACTTCACACAGCCACTGTACGCGGCACCACCTCACGTGATCCATCACACAACGGTGGTCCAGCCCAACGGGATGCCCGCGGCCATGTATGCTCCATCCATCCCTCCTCCCCGCAACAATGGGGTTGCCATGGGCATGGTGGCCGGCACCACGATGGCCATGTCAGCTGGTGGGTAGCTTGAAACGAACAATTACACTGGTCGACAAATGTTTACTTCTGTGAATGTTGAAATCAGAGACGCAAGTCAACTTTTCCACATTATTTCATTTTTTTTGCGCTGATTCTGAACCCAGAGTCGGTTTTAAAATAGCCAGCACTTCACAGGACCATGCCCCCCTGAACATGACGAATATTATAGTGGAGCCATGTGTGTTTAGTCACAATGCCTTGATCACAATGATGTCTATTTTGTTCACTCTGCACGTCAGGAACTTTGCTGTCGACTCCGTCACCGGCACCCGCCACTCTCGCCCCGCACCCCGTCACCATGCCCACATATCGGCCCGCCGGCACGCACAGCTACAGCTATGTGCCCCCTCAGTGGTGAAGTTGAATGAGAGTGAGTATGACGCTTGGACAGTATTAATGTGCCTGCTAAGTTTTTTTCACTGTGTGTGTTTGTCTCTGCAGGTGAGGTGGCCGATATGCATTCACACTCCACTCCAGTGTTTTTTGCTAGCGGTGGTGGACCAACTCTGCCAGCATCTGCAACCAGTTTGTCTTCTTCCAGTATAATGTGAATCTGAAACCATGTAGGTCCATTAGGATAGGGAGGGGGTAGGAGGCGTCCATCCACGTCTTAATGGAATTAGGCTTCATTTTCCATGCCGCACCCCTACAAGCCTGTTGCATATCTCACATCCGGCGGTCTAGGCCTCCATGCAATTATTTATCCAGGCTGTCATGCAAATTTTAGAGTTTTAACTAGCTTGTGGTGAAATTGGAGTTTGGAGTAATTTAATCCCCACTTATTTTGGAGAGGCGTCTGCTGTTGAATGCATGTTCTGTATGTTAATATGTCAAGTAATGCTAGCTCAATCGACCTGCTGTGACAGATGCAAACTCCTTCAAAAGGATCACATCCAAAGGACGTGAAAAGTAATAAATATCCGAAGCTGACTTGCCAGTCACCACATCTTAAATGTGAAACAAGATGAGAAGCGTTGATGCAAAAAAAAAAAAAAAAAGCAACACTGCACCGTCAGGTGCAGCCAACTCTTCTGTTTTCACAGCTTTGTGTTTAATTAAATGCAGCTTGTTCGTTTTATTTCTTTCAGTGATGCAGTACGTGCATTTGTTTTTACTGTTAGCGTGTTTTAAGGAAAGAGTGGGACTTTGTGGCTGCGGCCACGTACCGTTCCGGCTTAATCGTTAAAGTTCTCAAAATCTGATCAATACCTTTTAGTGAGAAGATTTCTGACTTCACACTCAGGCTGAAGCAGCTGTTTGGTTTGTGCTTGAAACCCTTTTAGGGAATATTTTTCTAATCCAGGACACCCATGATTAGAGTGAATATGCACAAACCACCAGTTGTTTTTGTGTGTGTGTGAGTGCGTGTTTAAATTGGAGACTATAAGAAATGTTGTCATACAGGTCATTGAATTGTTTCATTTATTGTTTTCTTCAGTAGGTCTTAAACACTACACCCAGGACTCCAGACTGTTTTTTGTTTTGTTTTGTTTTAACTTGGAGCACAGTGGTCCCCAACATCAAATTTTAGCGTCTTGCAGAAATCACAAATTGACTTGCAAAGTAAATATTTACATTTCCAATAATTATCACTGTGTTATTGATAAGTGGAGAAGAGGTTTGTTAGCAATAAAACATAGTCAAGACTTATAAATGAAATCAATCAGCAGAATTATTGGTCACACGAGTAGATGAAAAATTTTGTTGCAATACCTCAAATTTTAGGGGCAAAGAACCACTAGTCTGGAGCCCTGCCGACACCACTGCTAAATACTAAAGCTGAAGAAACCCATGACTATTGACCTGAATTCTTGAATATCACTACTGACAGGAAGCACTAAGTAATTCCAAGCTGTTTTTGACATTGCTTGCAGTTGTAGCATCAGCTTACTCAAAACCATTGTCCCCAACTTGCTTTACGATGTCACCTGACTTCAGTATGTTTTGTATGTTATTTTTATTTTGGTTCTTGTTTTGTATTCTAAATAAAAGAGCAAAAATAAAAAGGAATATAAGAATAAACTTGATTGCCATTGTACAATTCTTGATGACAAATATTTTGCTGAAAATTGTAAACGTGACAAGTTTTCACAACCTTTTGGCAAGTCAAATGTATGGAAAGCTATAGAAATACATGAACGGGGGTAAATATAAAAGTAACGGGACTGAGAGATGTAATCTGTGATTAAAATCCACGGTGATTGCAATCCAAAGCAGTAACCATCGCAGATTAATAGGTGGCAGTAATGCACTATTACAGTTGGAATTGAATACGAGAAGAAGAACGACACTTTCCCCCAGCATGCATTTCGGCGCGCGAACTTGAACTTTATTTTCACCGGCAACATACCTTTTTGAACATTTTCGTGCATTTTACATGCTAATAGTACAACTGCATGGAGCAGTTATGACCTGAAATTCGTTGTCGTAAGTAGTACTGTAGAACAAAATCTCGTTGTATTTGCATTACCGTGTACTATCTGGCTTGTCATTTTTGTAAACAGGACGACAAAGTTTGGAATACGCGTACACTGGTCTGGCGTGCCGAAGGTGTATCGTTGTTATTCTTAATGTTGCCAGTTGAAAAATAAGATCATTAGTTTCGTTCCCCGTCGTAATTTAGTATCATTCATGGACTTGTCTGTCGTCTTCAAACACCTTGTCTACAGTTCATGCACAGGTAACCAATGTTACAATAATAGTGGAGAGTTGCAAAAACAAAATAAGGAGTCGAAAGTAGCAATACATTATCATCTGCTTTCACATGTAGGGAGGAAAAATAAACACATCAGAAAAACATTCAGTATCCAAGTAAAGTACAGACACTTTTAAAAGCTACTTAAGGACATAAATGAAATATTTGTACAGTACTTTTTTACTTACCACCACATATCTACCCCAAAATGTTACACGGTGATGTATTATGTGCATCCACTGAGTAAGAAAACAATTTTTGGCATACAGGAGGGTTGATTTTGTTGAGTTTGCGGTGAGCTGAGGATGAGCAGCCCAACAAGCACGCCCAAACCTGTTGACCCCTTTCACAATTTATGGCAACAACTAAGGGAATGTCACCAAAAAGGACTTCAAGGTAACACATTTTTGTTATGACAACAATCTAGGTTCTGGACCACATGGGAGAAGTGATGTTAAAGTTGTACATTAGAGCTGCAATGAAATATGTTTTTTTGGTGTTACACTGTGTATATTTCTGCTTGTAGAACTTGAGGAAAAAGTCTGCAAGTTGAAAAAAGAACGCCGTCTGTGAGTATTGTATTCTTCTTTTTATTTTTTTTAAGAATTATCGTATCACAGTGAAGCTGTTATATGACCACATTTAGCTGAGACGGTTTTGTTTTAGCTTAGATTCACCCAAGACAAACTGTTTATTTTGTCACAGAGATGCAGAGAGTCTCCAACTGTTTTATACTCATAACCAGGAGCTGAAGGAGCGAACCAAAACTCTGCAGGATGCCAACAGTCTCTTGGAGGACAGGTAATTCCAAAGAGCGCTAACTCTACATATCACATGTAAACATTTTGTCAGGATGTTTTTTTTTTTTTAACAGCTAGAATACAGTCAGAACCCTCACTAGTATCACTTGTTGTGAACACTGACCACTTTTCGCCCCGCTTTCAGGCTGCGCACGAAAGAATGCAGTAGATGCACAACCTTGGAAGAAAACTTAAAAAAATGCCAAGATCACAGCGAGCAAACCATCGCCAAACTGAGTGAGTGTTTGTGCATTTAATGTGTTTAAATATACTCTGTGTGTATATCTGTAGTGCTTATTATTTGTGTTCTTATATTTTCGAAATACAATGCAAAAAATGTTTTTGCATCAAACAGAATCAATATTTTTATTCAACAATATGCCAATAACTGTCTTCTCTCAATGTTGAGTGTGTGTGTGTGTGTGTGTTTGTGTGTGTATTCTCAACAGAGTATGAAAAAAAATGCCTGGAAGATGAAAACCGCAAACTGCAAGCTGAGCTGCAAATATTAAAGACATGGTAAGTGCGTCCAATCATTGTTTTGTCACTGAAGACTGGTTTTGCACAATTATTTATCTTTGTTAAGAATAATTGCACACGTGCTTTTGTGTTCCGCTTTTGGCTGTTTCCAAACTCGGAAGCTCCAACTTTAACTTCACTCAGCTCTGAAGGTGTGTGATGTTGCTCTTAGCTCCGAACCGCAGGTGGCCCTCTCCCCAGAACCCGAAGATGGCATCATCCCAGACTCGCCAGTCCTGGCCAGCTCACTTCCTGTGGCCAACAAACTGAAGAAACGTAAATACATGGACAACAGCAGACATGTTCACTATGCAGAGGACTTCAACTGGGCACTCTTCAAAGGTCAGTTGAAAAAAAAATCCCTTTTTGTCCTCTGAGAAAGGTGTCTGAAGCAGTACATGTAGTTAAAATTAAGGTGAAGTCTTGGAGTTTTGTGTGCTTCTTTTCAGATCAAGAATTAAGTGACACTACAAGACTTGCTAAAAGAACACAGATGCTTGCTCCGAACACGTGTGAAATGGAAACGTCCCAGATTTCAGGTATGATTTAAAGCGGCGTTATTGTAAATTAGAGTCGGGGATGACACGCTCCTGTTATGGGTTCCTCGTAGTCACTGCTTACACTTGTCGTTTTGTTTGTAGACTTTAGTAGAAGTGTCGAAGCAATTGAGGAAAAAGTGGGGGGAGGCTTTAATTGGCAGCAACTGGCAGAGGCGCTGTTGATTCATTTGTCAGCTGATGTCGGTGTCAGTGAATTTTAATCTGCGGGTTTGTTGAAATTGTTGTCTAATATCAGGAGAGGAGGAGAACGGAGTGATAGCAGAAACATGCGGCCTGGAACTTGTCAACGCACTTCATATGGTAGGTTATGTTCATGCCCCAGTCTTCAAGGGATGCATTCCAATCGATTTCTTTGACTCACATTTCCGATCTTTCTCTCCGACTTCGATTTTCTCTTCTCAGAAAACCACAGCTGAAGGAAAGCAATTCAGCTCAAAACCATCCCGGTCGTCTGATGTTCGTCCAAAGTCAGAACCAAAATGTTCATTCTTTTCAAAACAGGAAGAGAATATATCACGCATTATATTTCAAGACCTTTACATTTCAAACCTTCTTTGTGTCCCCTTGCATAGGCCTTGTTGTACCCCTTCGCTCTCCACAATCATCCACAGTCCAGACTCGACCACGGCAAAGTCCCCATCTCTTCTCCCTCGTGGTGAGAAGCTGACCGATATTGGCGCTCTTGGCAAAGACAAAACAACAAAGGATGATGATGAAGCAAAGGGGCCGGAGGAGGGCGAAACGTGCGACCGTGCCAATGGGAAGAAACCGGACGCCCGAGTGGAGGCGATGAAAAAAACCTGCAAGACCATGAAGGCTCAAAGCTTCACGGAGCCACCTGGCAGCAGGGTTTGCCGTTTATCCTCAACATAGAATATGGCAACATTCACATGCTCATGGCTTGATAGGATTTAAGTCCGATTTTGAACATCTGTAAACAGGTTCAAACTCTCAACCAAGCTTTAAGTGATGACTGTGGAAGTCCAGCTTTCAAGAAGCCAAACAAGATACCGAAAGAAGAAGAGCACCGCAGACGGAACCACCCTCAGGTCCAGAGTGCTACGCACAAACGAGCTCTTCCGGAAAATGGTAAGCTTACTTTGCGGTTGTTGACTCTTGTTGCCGCTTGCACATCATTAGCATCGACAAAATCGTGTCATTGTCATTGCATCTTGCAAATTCTGTTCTCTCAGCACAGAGGAAACACAGAGTGGAGAACATGTGGAGCATCGACCCCGCACTTGCCCTCTCCATGTATGACAGCGAGCAAGGAGCAGATGAGGTACAAAACCGTCACATCAGCCCCGAATGGCCCAAATCGTTTTGTGTCGTCGTCTTAGCTGAAGCGCGATTCCACTCGGTGAGCAACTTGGAGGAAAAGACAAAAAGTGATCCTTGTGAGGATTTGACCCCGTTGCTATGTGGATGAATGTCATTCACTAGTTATTGACTAGTGTCACTAATTCAATTGGTGTCCTGTGTTTGCAAGGATAAAGAACAGCAACGTGAAGAATTACTTGATAGCGACTGCACTTGGATCAGTCACAGCTTACTCCAAGGTCGAGGCGAAAAGGACGAGGATGAGCACGGTGTGTCAGGTGAAGCACTCTCATCCTGTTCGCAGTCCCTTCGGCATTTCTTGTCAAAGGCGGACGCTGGAGAATGACCCTCGTATTTTTCTTACCAAGGAATTGGTGACAAGGCAAACGACAGTCTGGATCGAATGTTTGACACCACCGCCCACGAGGAGTACATATCTTACAACACCTCACAAGTTGCCAGTTGTCCATCTGAGGATGAGGAGGAGGAAGATGGTACGTACGGTACAGCATGTTTATATATCTGAAATCGACACTCGCCACCAGCAAGGCCTTCAAAATAAAGTGCAGCCCACAACCAAACGAACCGTATTACAATTTCAGCCATGGTGATTAATACAACAAGAGGAAACTTTTACTTCTTGTATTTTTTAAATCAGCATGTTCATCATTGCAGTTCTAGTTTGCGCACAATAATGAACACATTGTTAAATTAATCAAATGTCAGTCAAAGCTCGATCATTTGTATCATTTCCCTTTGTTGAAATTCTCGGATCGGATCTCTCCCTCATGTTGTCTCATTCCGTGAATGCATAATTTTAACAGTTTGTGTCAAAACCATTGAAAATAGTACTTGATGCTTCTTTCTGTCTCTCAAACTAGAAAAAGAGTCTCCAGAGAAGTCTCCACGCGTGCGCAAAGTGCAGTAAGCAATTGTTTTCATGTTAAAACAACCAAGACATTTAGATTTTGTAAGATGTTTGCTTCTATCGTTGTGACTCTGATTACAGACACCCGCCCTCATCTTATTTTGCCTCACACTAGTTGATGCCAAATGATGAAACGTATGTGGCCTCATTGACAAAAGTTTGCGTTTGGATTAGGCACCCAACATTTGCACACGCGGCGGTGGTTCGCAAGAAAGACGAGAGAAGAAAACTAAAAGGCACCACCTGCAAAGAATGTGAAGTTGTAAGTCTTTTTTTGGGCATCTTGTGCAGCACATGCAGGATTTCAGGTGGCCTTTCAAATATCAACTTGCTGTGTGTTTGGCTCTCCCCCCGTTAGTATTATGCCCATCTCCCAGAGGAGGAAAAAGTGAAGAAATTGTCCGAATGCTCTCGCCACCGCCATCGCTTCATTCCTCCCAGCACTCCGGAGAACTTCTGGGAAGTCGGATTCCCATCGACGCAGACGTGCATAGAAAGGGGTACGTAGACGCCTTTCCTGCTCTGTTCATGAAAATGGTCAAATGTGACCAAGTGACCTTGCGCTCTGCTTGTCTAGGTTACATCAAGGAGGAGCAAATGCCGCAGTCTCGTTTGAGGAGAAAACAGCCTTTCGCTGCTCTCTTCTCCCCAAAGAATAGCCAGCAGGAGAGCTGGGCAGAAAAGAAGTAGTGTGTCACGATTCATAACATGCTGTCACCGCCAACTTTTTTTATCCCTAGTGTCACTGGGTCATGTTGAATAAAAAAATTATATATATTTGTATTTGAAATGTGACTACATATTTTTTAACCCTTCCTTCAGGCTATAATTTTTACTTTGGGCGTAAGTAACTGCAAATAATGGCTTTCATCACAAAATTACCTCAAAAATAAGGGTGCAATATGTGAACAAATATTTTATTTGGTCTTCAGCTTATCACAGCAACAAAAAAGCAAATACAAATATTAAAACACAGCTTAAATGACCTAAACGTTTGTTGAGGAAGTGTAGGTTTTTGGTCTGTCCGGATGTGCTGACATTTCTCTCTCGAAATACACCAGCAAAGCCTCGCTCACATGACTGACCGCCATACTGCAACCAGAACAATAAATGACATGAAGGCAGTTCAAAACAAAGACAAATTTGCTTCAACATAAAAACAGGAAATACCCAGCAGAGCAGTGATTCCCAACCATCGTACCACAAAATCGTTCAACTCTTTATGCAAGTGACATACTGTATATTGGCTTGGTAGAACAATGACTGTACATGCTCTTCCATTAGGTGGCAGATGGAACAATAAACGTGTGTTCATCTGCTGCCATTCATAAGACCCAGAAAAAGTTGTGGCTTCCTGTAGGTATGTCATCTTTGTGTTCAATTCATCAGGCCCACATTTCACACTGGGCAATGTGCGAGTAAACTGGGACAAGGTCATCACGATTTTGGTATTCATGCGTTTTGGTGACATTTTGGCTTGCTGGCTTTTTTTCTGTGAGATTTTTCTCTTTCAAAAAGATGGTTTAATAAAGGTTGGGAAACAGGGCAATAGTCAATTCATTTGTCTGCTCAACTATCACTTACCAAATCATCGATGGGGTATTCATGTCCATATAGAAAATAAGAGGTGACAGGAACATGGCAGTAACCTGATAGAAAGAATACACTGATGTGTTATTGTGCCAAACTAGTGTGTGTGTGTGTGTGTGTGTGTGTGTGTGTGTGTGTGTGTGTGTGTGTGTGTGTTACATCTGCCTCTTAGTACAAGTGAACACTTGATTGATATGTTATTTTTGTTGTTGTTGGTCGTGTTTACCTTGGCCATAAAAATCCACACTGCAAAGTGCTGGAGAGACAAACCACTTTTTAGTTTGACGGTGGCCAAAAGCAGCAAGAAGCCCAGCAAGGCACTGTGAAAGGACAATGCAATCAATACACTGATCTATTTATTCTTCTTTTCCAATTAGGTCGGAAGCAAATGACGATCACCGATGTACTGCCGCGTGCTTGCTCAGGAACATGGCAAAGGTCTTATTTTGGTGCGTACGACTTGTCAAAGTATTTTACTCCCGAAATGTTCGGGATACTCGGCTTCCAGGCCAAATTACAGGATGAACCCGAAATGTACTGGAACCTTTGCTGGTTAACTGAATGTGACTTTCTCCAAACTACTTTTTGCACAACTTCCTGTTCTCGAACGAGGAAATGAACTGTGGAAGTGACAACAATGCGGTGAACCTTAAATTGACATTTCCTGGTTGAATTAGAATAGGAATCAAGCCAGCCCTCTTCCTCGTGCTGCTCACATTTTGGCACCATGAGACCAAGATGACATCGATCAACAGTCCCTCACCATTGTGAGGCATCAAACAGCATGTTCTCCGAGGGCACTGAGCTAAAGAGGTTGCCACAGATCTACAGCGGGACTGGAGGAGTCACAGAAAGGCCAAGGGGTGGACATGCTTGAAAGCGAAGAATATAGCTCCTGTGAATTTACTGTTCAGCTCCTTGTTGGGGAAGGGCGAGTTGTGCAAAAAGTAGGGAAACACTAAATATTTGAAAGTAACTGTCTCTTATCCATGACATCGTAGGTGTTACAAGTCGTGGTGAGTGGCGATGGTGGGGTCACCTTGCACAGCAGCCCCCGCGAAAGGAGTAGGACTGAAGGGAGGGGAACTCCAAGGCACTCATGAGGTCACCTGAGGAGGAACGAAGGTCAGTGGGCAAAGTGTAGCCACCGTCCAACATAGAATATTTCGATACTATGGGAGCGGCCGAGTGCAAGATCATTCTCACCTGTTGGGTGAGCGGCCATTGCCAGAAGCAGAACGCTGTTCCAAAAACCTATCTTTAGTCTCAAATGTTGCTATTACAATCATGACATTCTTCCGAAAGCGTTGTCCTTACCTGAACAAGTAGTTCACACATTGCTGCTCAATGTCGCTACACCGGAAAAAAACGTTGTGTTCAATTAGAATTGGAATATTGCTTCGACTGCAATCAAATATGGGCTCACCCTTACCTCAAATTACTGGATTTGTAGTGAACTTGAAACACCCTGTAAGCCCCTGAAAGTGCAATCAAATGAACAGTCAAAGTTAGGTCACAAGTGGACATGCGCTGATGGGATGCTTGAAAATTATGCACTTAGAATTCAAGCCTTACCGACACAGACTAGATGAGCGATGGCCCACATGTAACCGGTGAAGTCAAACTACAACATAAGACAGTCTCATCAATTCAGTGAAAAATAATAAAGGCGGTACGCAAATCACCAAATAGTTACCTGGGGATCATAGGCAGGGAGGTTGATGGCTGAAATTAGCATGAGACATACACTAACAGAGAAAAAAGCAGATTGGGTTCTTATTTCATGTCAAACACGCACAAAAAACAAAAAACAAAACAAAACCATTACACACCTCATAAATTTCAGCCATTCAATTTTCTGTGATTAGAGAGAAAAATGAAATTGTATATGAAAGAGATGTTTCATTGAATACATTCATGATGACTCTGTACTTGATTGATCCATTTTTTTAAATTGTTTTTTTTAGCATTTCTGTCGTCGCGAAAACACACCCGAATTTACCCCTGACCCAACCTTGTTTCCCATGAGAGGCAGTCTTTCACGTACTCTTACCTCTCTATGAACAGCCTTCGAGATGACATAACTAACGACATGAGAGGAGTTCTGCAGGGTGAAGAAGAAAGGAATCTCCTGCAACGTGAAAGAAATGTGACATCATTCAATCCATCGCGACCTATAGTAGATGAGAAGCCCCACCGAAGAGCTAGCGTGTGACTCACGAGACGTGATAGAGCTCTGGAGCCTGCGTAAATGTTTCCTACAAACAGGAGGGAGCCTGGAAACCAGGCAAAGGCAGCCGATCTGAAAGGCAGTGTTGAAATGGATCAAACATGCTCAAGCGGATGGAGTTGAATGTAAATGACTGAGTAGTGAAGGTCGTGTACCTGGAGATGCGGCTCATTTCCACCCATCCCAGCTTGCCAGAAAGCAGGAGCAGGAGCGCCCCGATAAATGTCTGCCATCTTCGAGCGAGACATGGAAGAAATGAGTACTTTCTCTACCATAAAAGACCACTTTGTGATCAATTGTTCCAGCCACGCTAAAGGTCACAAGGACGCAATAATAAAATGCCACCGTTAAATATACCACTCACCCTTGAAATAAAGTTGGGTAGGTGAATTTCATTACAGACAGGACAAACTGAAAAAGAAATCCACGCCATTAGAAGTGAACATTTGGAGAAAAAGGCATTGAAAAGTACTTTGATTATGTCAAGTAAAACAGACTCCTAAAGCGTCGAATTTGGTTTGAATGTCTTTCCAAACTGATACCACTACAAGTGTATTCAGTCTTCAGTACAAACAGATACAGAGTACCAATACCACCAGTACTTTTAATATATGCAAATTTCAATGACCACAACGGAAGATAAATGTGAACAAAGATTTGTATTTCTTTCTGAAGCGCATGATCATTCACAGATTTCTCAGATTGCCACAGTCAAACCCCATTTACTGGTGAGTCTTAATTTGTCACAAGTAACCAATATCTTGAAATAAGGCCAATGAACAACCCAATACTGACATCTGGTATCGGTACTTCCCCATCACTTATGACCAAATTATATTAATACTCATTTTTTGTGGAATTTTTTTTTAATAATTAATTTCCCAAATCAATAACCTATGGCACAGCCACAAAACACAAAAGCCACGTGTCAACTCAAGTGTCTCATTAAAGCTTACGAGACTGATGAAAAGAAAGTAAAACAATTTTAGTGGGTCTCAAAATTATTCTTGCTCAGTGTCTTCTTCCTGACAGAGGCCCGATAGTGGACGTAATCAAAGGAGCTCTAGGATTTTGAGGGAAATGTTATAAGAGTACAAAAGCAGGTTAAGTATTTATTTTTCAAGGCAACAAATATAAAAAAGTATTTAAATATAACGCCGGATTTGAGGCGCACTTACCAATTGCACTTGCGCAATCCTGTCATTCAATACGAGAGCTACAGCAAAATGTGTCTTTAAAATTGATCGACTTGGAATATCACTGTGCTTCCTTCAATATGTTTTGTTCACGTTATTTGCTGAAGTGATATGGCAGTAATATTATTCTCAATACATTAATAAATAAAACAATAAAGCCAAATTTTGACAGATGTACCTATAGATAGCGCAGGTACAGTACGTAGATACTGTATGAGGAAGTAGAAACTGCTTCATTTTCATCTCACAATTGCAAACCCATGAACAAAAAAGTTTAATAAAGTGAATGTTGTTTAAAACAGACAAACCATTTATGACCCAAATACGATCTAATAATAAAAAAAGTCATCGTTTCCTCCACATAGGTGATATTTGTCAGGTACTCACCTTATTTGTGAAATACGACACAATAAAAAAGAAGCTAAAGGCGAGGCCGCCGAAATTTCGTTTCCACTGCATTTCGACCTGCCCAAACGCAGCATGACTTCAGCAGCGCAAAAACTAATATCGCAATATTCTTCGCATGCTTTCAAAGTACTGTACACATATCGCACTCGGAAACTTCTCTCTGCCGTCACAGGCAATCTGACACGTCAAGACGTCGCCAGACTAAGATTGTCTATTCAAAGAAGACAACTTGCGCAGACGCATCCCATGAGACATTTTGCCGCTGGAAGATGAATGAATGACTGTCACCTTTAGAACACCTGATTACAGAATAAATACAATTATATCATATATTTCATTTTATATGTATTTCCGAGGCATAAATGTTAAATAGGCATATTTCGAAATAGTGTGCTATAGGATGTTCTGTATTACACGAAGATCGCATATATATATGGTCACGTGGTTTGCCGGACGTTTCCTTGTTTACAGCAGTGTGACTGAGCTGCTTGGATGCCACACAAGGATGTTGGACAGTCATGGCTTTTTTCAAGACTAAAGAGCGAACCAAGGAAAGGTAAGTGCTCCTGCTTTTTTCGCGTCGCGCCGTGTCACTGTGCGTGGTGCAATAGTGGGTTTTCGAAAGTGCGGATGAATTTGCATTTCAACTAAGTCATACCGGTGGTGCAATTCGCTTATGACAGCTGCAGAACGTCCTTGTGCCGCGAATATGAATTAACGTGTTTGCAGCGATGCAAATGTGGAAGTCGACCGGTCGCTCGGACCAAGACAGTCTTTGCTGTGGCAAGCATTTACAGTACTGCGAAACGCTACCCACTCCCAATTGACTTTCAGGATGTTGACAGGACAACATTCGATACGCTTGGTCTTTGTCATGAAGCCCCAAATGACAAAATATGAAAAGATTTTTTTCTATTCAAGGTAATTGTAAATGCCACGTTTATTCTGGTCGAATGTTGTTGCAATACACAGATGGACATTGACTTCAGCACTTTATTCAGCTACAAAAGGGGCTGACATTTTGCGACTACCATGCTGTGCAGTTGTACACCGCTGCAACTATACGCATCATCATAAACTTAAAAAAAAGAAAAGAATATACTGCTTGTATGCATATTCAATGTGATCCGGCTCTTGAGGTTGCATTAGTTACGTTGTGAGTTTTATAATGTATTGTAAGTTAACTGATGCTATCATGAACACCTATTTAACGAGCATACGTTTTGTTACTCAAATATTTATTCCAATGATGTGCAAATAGTTTTTTCCCCATCACGTTAGAATATAAGATGTTTACTGCAGTACTTTTTTTTTCGTTTGCTAACAACAGCTACGTACCCTATGTTTGTGCGATGATGATAAATATTTGAATTCTAAATCTTATAAATTAGTGTCATGGGTATTCAAGCAATTTGAAAAAAAAATGTGTTTGTTTGGTTGATGTAGTTTAAATGAATGCATTTAAAAACAAATATTGGAAACATTTATTTCCTAAAAAAAAAAAAAAAAAAAAAAGGAAGTGATAGCAGAAAACAACCCGGGCTGAACACAACAGCTTGACAAAAAAAAAAGACATCACGTCATTGTTTCATTCAATAAGCACCGTTGGTGCAGTTAAAAGCTCTCAAACCTGAACATCCAGTATGACACACCATCCAAGTTTTTGCAATGAAGACAATGATTGATAATTAATTGCTCTGCTGCAATGCTGTCAATGACGTCACATTGCAAGTCCTGACAAAGTGGAGAGGTGTATGTAACTGTTGAGTGTGAATAAGATGTTCCATTTACCATAGGATCATTCATCGTTTGTATCTTCACCGGTGACGTAAGAGTGATGTTTAATTTTTCTTTTCTCCAGATTTTCTCTCTTGTTATTGGATTTGGAAGAGTATTATTTTGAACAGCACACTGCATACAATGTGACAAGAGGCTCAGCTAAGAAGAGGTGACGTAGTCTTATGTTCTACTATCACCAGCGTTGGTGCTAATATTTTGTTTTAAGATGTTCAAACACAATCCAAGTCAGTCATCTGCCAAACACAAAGAATTCCACTGAGCAAATGAGATGTGTGACCGACCCGGTTGCACGTCGGTCAGTTTGTACAAGATCAGAAATGGGATATGTTGTGGAAGATGTTTTATCGAGTGGGAAGAGCAGAGTGAAATGAAAAAGTAGACACACACTCGCAAAGCTTTAGAACTGAATTCACTATTTTTAAATGTATACCGATATAAACATCCTCTATCGTGTCAGACAATATATTTGCATGATGCTTTTCACTCTCTTTGCTAAAATCTGTCACTTCTTTCCCTTCCAGAAAAATCCGAGGCTCATTTAAGGTCTGTTCCAGATCAGTCATTTTTGACCCGGAAGATTTTACGGAGCCAATTTTAAAGGTTTGTTTTGAATTGAATATCATGACACACATCTGACAGGAGAACAGCAACTGTTTAAAAACAGAATGGTGAACTGCATCGTAATATTTTTGTTTAAAAAAAAAAAGTTCAGTTATGTGGATATCTGCTACTTGCGGGCCAGCCTTTCACCCACGAATGGCGGATGTCCACTGTCTTATTTATATATCTACATACATACAATATATATAATTAGAGTATGGATATTATTGGCTTTGCCTGCAGATTCCATTGCGAGACTGTAAGCAAATTGACTTCGTGGAAAAAGAGACCAACCCGTTCAATGAGTGAGTATATATTACAAGTATGTCTCATCTCCCCATTTAGGGCACACGTTGTTTAATGAGTTGGTCAAACTGGTTCCGTTCCTCCTCACCATATTTGTCACAACTACCGTTCATTTGAAATATAGTGTTAAGATGAGCATTTAATCATGAAAACAAGACAAAGTATGATACCTCTTTTTAAGATGATATATTATTGTTGTTTTGTTTGTTTTTTTGTCACTCGCACACATTTTAATATTTGTTTTCCTTTCACAGACCCAAACCATCCTCCATTTTAATTCACTGTGAACAGGTAAGGTTATCTAACCTTCCTTTTTTTCCCCCTCCCATCCAACGTAGCTACTTTTAATTGCTCAAATAGTGTCGAGTCCTAAAAGTAAACATCTCTCCCTTTCGCGGCAGGTTATATACATCAAAGAAAACTGCGTCGTTTCACCCTACAGAAACGAGCGAGTAAGTCTGGTGTGAGCACGCTGTCGGATGATCCGTTGGCTTTTGCCGTTTTTGCTGTGACGATTAAATTGCGTCCACCCTGCCGAACAAGTGTGATTTTCTTTGAGTCACTAAATTCCATTGCTTCAATTGAAAGGGCACAAAGACTGTCAACTTTGAGCTGGAAGTGTGGCGTAAAACGGAGGATGTCGTTCAAACTTTACATCAAGTACGTGGGTCATTCCGAAAGATTTGGAAAGTCGTGTCCATTTAGCTCTTTGGGAGTGAGAGTACGTGCCTCTCTCTCTGCTGCTTGTATTTGTTCTTGATTTTTTTATTGTATCTTTTTTCCCAGCTGCATCGAGCATCCTGTCTGGAAAAGCTTGGTGACCAGACCGCTATGGTGACTTCACGCGCACTGATGTTTGTTTAACTGGCGTCCAATTTCCTCATTTGCGTGCTTTCTTTTCTAGATTACAGCCAATCTTCAATCCCGACTGGCAAGGACAGCGTTCGACAAGTTCTGGTTTGTGCACTGTTGCGATTTGTGCTTTGTGCTGGGAAACGCACAGTACGAAAAAGAGTGTCTGATGTATTCGTTGGCGACGTAAAGCTTTCAGAGCGTCGCCGAGACGCCTCACATGGAGTGCACGGTGGAGATGGTCCTCCCTCTGGTATCCAATCCCGGCCACGTCTGCGTTACAAACGAGAATCTCTACTTTCAACCGCTCAACGGCTATCCGGTGAGCTGTCTGATATGCTCGAAAGCGTGGCTCCTTCTGCTTTGAGTTCTTGCGGGCTGCAGTGCAGCGCGGCGCAGCTCATGAATGACGCCGTCGCCTTCTCGCTTCAGGAGCAGGTCCTTCAGATCAAACTGCATCAAGTCAGGCGGATCTACAAAAGAAGACACGGTCTCAGACCCCTGGTGAGTGCAACAACTCCTGTCCGGTGCATAAACACGACCTTTACATGCACGTGTCTCTTCTCTCTTGCAGGGGCTCGAAGTGTTCTGTTCCGAGAACGACTTCTGTTCCGACATCTATCTCAAGTTTTACAACACGGCGGACCGAGATGAAATTTATTACTTCATTGCCACATTCCTGGGTGAGTAAATGCCATGCCGGGAATAAATCCTGAGCAATCCTCTTACTGGACACAACAGAATCCGAATCGGATCGCTTCCTTCTTAAATGACCGTCATACATACGAGAAATTGTAGGTACCGTGCTACAGCAACCTTATACCTCACGACTGCTATCTTTCCTCCCCCCCGCCCTTCAGAGAACCACATGACGGAGCACACAGCAGAGAGTTACATGCTGCAGTGGCAGCGCGGCCACCTGAGTAACTACGAGTATCTGCTCCACCTCAACAACCTTGCCGACCGCAGCTGCAACGACCTCTCGCAGTACCCCGTCTTCCCTTGGGTCGTCGCCGACTACACGAGCGCACAACTGGGTGCGTTGACGGCAGAGGCGTACAACACACGTGAACGTTGGGAATCTTGTCGTGCAGTAGCTTCAACGGCCTCATTTGATATCAAGTTGGGCGGGCCCCAGTTAAAAGCGCAGCATCAATTTGAAATTTCTAAAAAAAATAAAATAAAATAGCAAGAACCTGATGTGTGTCACGTGATCACAGTGGTTGTATAGAAAGGCTTAAAGACCGGCTTGGTAAACTAAAAAATCTGGGCTGTTGGTTTGTTGTGAGTACGTAGAGACATTGTACGGTATTCGTCGTTTGAATATTGCTCGTCGCTCATATTAAAGCTGTCTTATGCGCAGAAAATAATCGCTGTAATCTACCTTTATGTCTTTCAGATCTGACAAATGCAGCCACATTCAGGGACCTCAGCAAACCAGTCGGAGCGTTAAACAAAGAGCGGCTGGATCGGCTCTTGGTGAGATTGCCCTTGTCGCGTAGAACCCGAGCGCATTCCGCAAATCCAAATAGCGGCGTCCCTGTGGTTGTGTCAAGATTCGGAATTACGCTCACAGAGAGTAAATTCGGCTCCGACTTCTCTTTGTCAGTGCCGCTTCCGAGGCATGCCCGAGCCTCGCTTCATGTACGGCAGCCACTACTCCTCTCCCGGCTACGTTCTTTTCTACCTGGTCAGAGTAGGTCAGTCGCTCACATGGCGCGTAAAAAAACCGCACTCGCGAGCGCTCTATTTTTTGATTTTATTTTAAATCGTGTTTTTCGGTTCCCTTCCCCACAGCTCCAGAACACATGTTGTGTCTGCAGAATGGCCGCTTTGACCATGCGGATCGAATGTTTAACAGGTGAACGATGTTGCCGTGATTACAATCATCAATCATTTTTTTGGCTTTGTGAAACGAAAGGCTCGGCTGTATTTGGCGCGACTGGATGGCTGCCATTCAAACGGAAATGCTGGCAACTGCTCTGAACGACGCGTTTGTCTTTTTGCAGCATCGGTGAAACGTGGAAAAACTGCTTAGAGGGGGCAACGGACTTTAAAGAGGTACGGTGTTGATTTTATGCTCGGCTACTTTGAACATTGTCTTCAAGGGTCTAATTTGCTGTTATTGTTCTTCTGAATTGTTTTTTGTTTCTTCTCTCGGGGACGGACCGCATCAAACTAATCATGCCGCGTCCAATTTGCACCGCATACTTTATAGAGTGACGTGTCGTTTGTACTTTGCGATGATTTCAATGGATGGTCGTAATCCTTTTATCCCTTAGTTAATTCCGGAATTTTACGGGGATGACGCAAGCTTCTTGGAAAATCACCTGCGCCTTGAGCTGGGTCGGCGGCAGAACGGAAGCTTTGTCGGCGATGTCCACCTCCCACCCTGGGCCTCAGGTAACTTCCTGCCGTTTTCTGACCCGCTTCTCCTCACTGGGGTTCACAGTGGGCAGCTTGTGTACACGCCGCGAGCGAGGAGGAAACACTTTAGTGAAGAACAGGCTCGGGTGCCCTTGATTACGGCTGCCGAAGCATCGATCCTCGCGGGAGATTGGAGAGAATATGAGCTGGAGAAGGGCCGCAAATCAAATCTCTGCTCTCTCCTCTCCAGATGCTCGGGATTTCCTGCAGAAGCACAAGATGGCACTGGAGAGTCAGTACGTGTCGGAGCACCTGCACGAGTGGATCGATTTGGTGTTTGGTTTCAAGCAGAGAGGAAGCGAAGCCGTCGGGGCCCATAATGGTAAAATAAATCATCATCTTCATCAAACCCCGACACATCCGGCATAAGCTAAGAGTGGTGTCATCTCTCAGTATTTCACCCACTGACCTACGAAGGGGGCATCGACTGTGACAGGTAAGAAACCAAGGGCGCATGAATCATAAATAAAGCTTTTTTTTTTTGCACTCAGGTTCTAACATAAAGAGTGCAAGGAGTGAAGTGATGTGCAGTCGGGAATTTAACTGGCTCGTACGGCGCCACGTTGTGTTGTTTGTCAAGTCTGGAGGACCCGGACCAGAGGGTGGCCATGCTGACCCAAATACTGGAGTTTGGTCAGACTCCCAGGCAACTCTTCACCACTCCTCACCCTCAGAGGATCGTGGCAAGGTCGCCCAACATCACCAGGAGCCCGAGCCTCACATCGCCCATCAGCGAACTCACCCCGGGTTGGGGTTTATTTCTCCATTGGCTTACGTCGGTGCAAGCGTGCCTCTTGTTAAATGTGAATGTTCCTCGCGGTTCCCAGGCTCTCTGAATGAGGACTCCTCCTTCGAGGACCTGACAGAGGAGAGCCGGAAGCTGGCGTGGTCAAACATGGGCCGTCTGACGCCAGCCTCCAGACACAAGATCCATAAAGAGTACGTGAGCTCGGCGCACCCCCGCGTGGTTAAGCTGCCGCTACTTCACTTGGTGATTTCTCTTGTCCTGAACGCGTAGCGCGGTGACGGCCATCACCGTCAGCCGAGACGGTGCTTCCGTTTTCAGCACATCCCGAGGTACAAGTGGCAAGATAGTCAATATGTCTGCCACTCGGTTGATTTTTTTTTTTGCTCCGTCATGTTTCAGACTCAACGCTTAAGATGTTCTCCAAAGAACTGAAGGACTTTCAGAGGAGCGTGTCTTTCTCCAATATGGTAAGTCGTTTTTATTGTATTATTATTATTATTATTTTGAGCAATAAATTGGAAAAAAAAAAAAATGTTGTATACAGTGGTGTTTTTTTTTTCCCTGTCTTAAAAAAAGGACTATAAGCACTCAGGCTCAGCTAATAATGTTTGTGGGTAAGCAACGAAGGCCAACAGGTCAAAAATCATCTCACATGAAAACCCCCCGATAAGATATCGAGATGCCTGCATGAATACTTTCATTCGTCCAGTAAGGAAATGAGAGGAAATTTCTAGTTGTATTATTCATTCAAGTTGACTTCTTTGTTGTCACCGCCTGCCGCTGGCACTTAATCGTGACATAGGCGCAAGATGCGGCGCATATACACGTCTTTGGGTCACGCGAAGTGTTCATGGAAATAGCATGACACTGGAATGGAAGCCTCTCAACTTTGTTTTTCAGGCCTTGTCATCATGCCTGATGCTGGCTGACGTTCAAATGGTGGTGTGCTCCTCCTGGGACAATAATGTGTATGTAGCGTACGGGAAGTCCAGTTTATGGACGTTGAATTTTTGTGGCTCACGCTCACCTGCTCTTTCCTGTCGTCTAGTTATTTCTATTCCATCCCATATGGAAGGCGACAGGACACGCTGATGGGTCATGACGACGCCGTCAGTAAAGTGCTTTGGTCCGACGACAAGCTCTTCACGGCGTCCTGGGATTCTACGGTCAAGGTGAAGAGATACTCACGCGTCGAGTATTTCACTTGTCGGAGCGGTCCAAACACGTGCTTTGTCATTGTTTGCATTTCAGGTGTGGCGGTGTGAGCCTCACGTTTTGTGCGGTCGCAAGAGATCACATTTTGAGCTGTTGGCTGAGTTGGAACATGACGCCGGGGTGAGTTGGCTATCTCGTAATCATGACGTGATGACAAATACGGCGGCACCTTGACTTCAGAGTTTGTTCACTTTGTTGCATGACCAGGATCCGAACTTTGTTTACTTGGAGACCGAAGAATCGATTATCAAATTATTGAAGAATTATTTTTGAGATACACACACACACACACACACATTTTGTTTTCGGTGCCTTTTTAGAATTGTTCAAATGCTCAGAATTTCAGCTTTAGGAATGTGAAGTTCTCTTGCACATGATGTAATATTGTGGATGGTGAATGTCCTTTAAAAGCAACGACGTAAAGATTCCTCCGGTAATATAAAAAGGTTAATCATAATGGGTTTTACCGTTCCAAAATGCAGGTGAACGCTATTGGACTGAATCCTTCGGGGACTCTGCTGGCGTCAGGATGCAAAGACGGGGCCGTCACCATCTGGGACACGGACGCCTACCGAACCCTTCAGCAAGTCGACTGCCACGCTGCCACCGTCCACCATGTGTCTTTCAGTCCAGGTCGGTCGGGTTGTTATGATGGAAAGGATTAATTAACACCCTCCTTGCAAGAAAACAGCTGTACATGCTGTGCTGTAACCGAGTCCTTTGAACCAGACTGGAAGGAAGCAAGCAACTGACGACGAATACTCAAGTGATTTCTTCTATTTAGACAGTCGACACGTCCTCAGCATTGGCGCCGATTCCTTCATGAAGGTCACTGACGTTCAGACGGGAATGGTGATCTCGTCCGTGAAATCAGACGAGGAGCTCAGGTGTCGTCATGTCGTCCACCAAGCAAGCAAACATGAGTTTCCAAAGTAACTGTGGGCTCAAATCCAAATGAACTGTTATTCAACCCCCCCCCCAATTTGGCTTGTCTCAGGTGTTTCCGCTGGGACGGAAACTCTGTGCTGTGCGGGGGCCAGTCAGGTGACCTCCTGCTATGGGACTTGATGAGCAACACCGTCACCGCCAGGATCTCGGCACATTCAGGTGCATCTCTCGCCCACCACAAACACACGCACGGCAGTAACACGGTGGAGTCAAAGAAATGGTCATGTCCTGTGCGTCTGGGTCCTCATTGAGTCATTCCACGTGCGTTCGTCCTTTGTGCTTCAAGGTGCAGTCACAGCCATGTGGATGAATGAGCTGCGTGCCACAGTGATCACAGGCGGAGAGGACGGAGAGGTCATCTACTGGAAGCTGCACGATTAGTGCGCAGACTCTGAAGAACATTTGGGGAAAAATAAAGCCATTGATGCGAGGCAATGGGAAAGCGTCAAGACCCCCAAATCTTCAGCACATGGTTAGACACAGAGGGTCTACGTTGATGTGTGGCTATCTGGACATTGAGAGAAAAATGTCCAATTGCAGTTTTGTCCATGACAAATGGAAGCTGCGAAAGCTTTCTTTTGTGCTTTATTTTATTTTATTTTTTAACATCCTGTGTTTCTAAAGCTCTATACTGTGGGCATGTTTTGCAGTATGAATGACGCTTAGACTGTTTATTTGCATAGTGATACAAAAACAAATCTCTTCCTGCTGCGCTTTACTCTCGACTGTACTTACATCCGATTACATTTCCACACACGATTGTGAAAATTGAGTCCAACTGGTCGTCATTCCGAACGAGTGAAATTGAAGTTGTCGAATTAGATTGCCAGGTAGATCTAGTCATTGAGCAAATAATTTTGTTGCGATTCTGATTAAAGTTGAAGATGTTAGATCAGATTGTGTGTGCGTGAGTGGGCGGGCGTGTGTGTGTGTGTGTGTGTGTGTGTGTGTGTGCGCATGCGCATAATATATGTAGATATCAAAATCTATATATAGATAGATATATAGATAAAAGTACATTGCAGGTGTTTCTCACTTTAATATTTAGCATAATTTTTCACAGCCATTTTTGGAACGCCTATTGACGTTTTCCTTTATAAAAATTTCTTTAAATTGTGATTTACATTTTTTTTCACTTTTATTTTGATTGAGATGAATTACATGTGCAATTATTAGACATTTCAAGGAGGGCACAGGAGCAGAGTGTAAGTTGACTTCGGTCAGACACAGTTAAGATGGCATCAAAAAGAAAAACTTAATCAGTATTTTATGTGGCAAAATGTAGCCCAAGACTAGTAAAATATTTATTTACTGAGAGCAACTATTTTCTTGCAGGAAATGCTAGGAATATACCATTTTACGCCTTAAATTGCTTGGTGTCCCCCGGTTTATACTGACCCCCCCTTTAACTTTCCTTGGATTTTCTCTTCCTCATTTCACAGCCCTGATGTGTAGTAAGCCGTTTTTTACAGCCAAAAAGGACGGCCATGTGTAGGAAGATGTTTTTGGCACGAAAAAAACGACATAGTATACCCCCCCCCCCCCAAAAAAAAACGACCATGTATAGTCAGGCGTTTTAGCCGAAAAAAAACGACCATGTATGCTAAGGCTTTTTTAGCCCGGAAAAAACGACCATGTATAGCTTAGTGTTTTTTGAATTGTTCCTTGGTGTGAGTGTGAACACGAAGAGAATCAGAAAATATTGGCCACGAATGTTTCGAAGAACACGCAGGAAGTCAACTACCAGGGAGCGTGTGTGCATCCCGCATTGCCTGTCTATATGACCATTAAAAAAAATAAAAATCGTGAGGCATTTTTAGCCTAAAAAAGACGACCATGTATCGTAATTCGTTTTGTGAATTGTTCCTTGATGTGAGTATGAGCGTGAAGAGTTGTGCGGAGAAGAGGATCAGAAAACGGATGGCCATGGAAGTTTTCGCGAACACACAGGTAGGCCAGAGCAAGAATCGACCATGCACCTCTGAACTGTGACGCAGACACACTCACCATTCGACTACCAGGTAGGTCATGAAATCCTACATAGCACCTCAGGCGTTTTTAGATCAATGAAGACGACCATGTACTGGACTGTAAAGCGTTTTTTTCCAGCCAAGTATAGTAAGGCGTTTTTAACGGAAAAAGACCATGTAAAGTGAGTTTTTTTTCACCGTATTTAAAAAAAAAAAAAAACAGGCGTTTTAAGCCAAAAAAACGAACATGTACAGTAAGGCGTTTTTAGCAGGCCGTTTTTAGCCGAAAAAAAACGACCATGTATAGTAAGGTATTTTTTGCCGGAAAAAAGGACCATGTATAGTAAGGCGTTTTTGGCAAGAAAAAAACGACATAGTATAGTAAGGCGTT